GTCTGCGTGGCTAGCAAACGTTTATAGCAAGTGAACTGTACACTCAATCAGATGTAACTGTTACTGCCGTGCGCTTGTACTACGAAGATTTGATATTGGTTTCCTCAAACTCTTGAAGAAAGTCTGGTAAGTACGTTGCATCACTTACTTTCCTATCTATTCTAAACTGAGCATATTAGGTACCGAAATAATTAATCAAACGAAGATGAAAACATAATATATGTCAAATGCCATACACGTTGCTAGCTGTATTGCTGATACTTTGAAACGCGAAATAAGAGCTTATAGGAAAGTAGTCAAGGCCTATAGGAAAGCAGTCAATGGCGTTGAAATATCATGGTGCCAAGCGCACAAAACATATACTCATTTAACAATTCGGTCATTCGAACACAAGTAGGAAGTACGTTAATGCAAAACAGTTCGCACGAAGTTTCCAAAACATGATATGCGTGAGCATGCATGCATGCATGAGAGCAAGAACGACAAACTTATTAAATACCATATGCAGAGAGAAAATTAAATACAATTATATAGTGAAAGAATATTCATAACATGTTGCCACATGCATTCCGAAGGCAATTATAACTTTCAAAGAAATTTGAGAATCATGAAAATCATGTGATTATATTCGGAAAGAATATTCATAACATGTCGCGACATGCACTCCGAAAGTGATTTCAACTTTCAAGGAAATTTGAGAATCATAGGATCGTATATAGACAAGTATAAATACGTGAAGATTTTTATGTTAATTTATTTAATGCGTTCACGCACAAATGGAGAATATAAATGCAGAAGACTTTTAGCGAAGAAACTATACCTATTATTTTGACAGACTTCGACCTCCTTCCCCCGCCTGGTCTCAGTTAGCATACTTTGGCGTGTGATCGTGTAAACAACATTGAATGGGTAGGGAGATGTTAACATTTGTGACAGTTTGCATACATGTATATCCACTGCAGATAATCTAAAACCGCAATTAGTCCTCCAACAACGGCTATTAGTAAAACACGGAGCACGGAGCACGGAGCACGGAGCACGGAGCACACGGAGCACGGAGCACACACGGAGCACGGAGCACACGAAGTACGGAGCAGTAGAAAAACGAAAATCCTTTATAATAAAATACACTGTTTACTATTAGTATTACAAATTTTTGTTATTATTAACAAAGTTTTTTCGCGTATTACACGTTGGGGAAGTAGGAAAATGGGGCTTTTACTGAAAAACACATATGATGCAAAACCAGGCTGCCAAAAGCCATAGTATTTAAAATGGGATTGTGAAACTCGTTATCTTACATCTATCAAGCTTATGTAGTTATATTATATTCCGATGGGCAACACATAAAGAAACACTTACTGCATGTAGAGAACAGCCGATATATTTCGTTACCCCTGCCAAAAAATAGCCAAGTATACTCATCTTTCAATGTAGCGGATCGACTGAACATTAAATCTTGTGATGAGAAAAGTGAATTTTCGGTTTATCCTTCGTCTCAGTGACCGGTGGCAGTGAGCTGTACGGCCGGCTAAGTTTAAACCGTTATACAGTACATCATTACTGCTTTCATTCTTTCAATTCGTTTTGAATATTCGGAATCATTCACAATATTATAAAACTGTATAAGATAGCTGTAGAACTATAAATGCTGCAGAATGAAATAAATAAAGAAAAGTAAGTTTTCAAATCGCGGTATTTGCCGATAAATCGGTAATCGCTACAGAAAAACAGAACATTAAAATCACAACAAACCGCGGAAGTGGGACAATTTTTGTATTTTTACTGTAAGACATGTAGAACATGTACGAAATCCATACAGAAGTGTGTGTGTATTCTATACTTTTGAAACAACTAAATCAGACTTCGGAAAATTTGACAGTATTAAAGCTACTTTTGAGAATTTAGATTTTAGGTCTTTGTTTTACATGTACCCAGTAAATATTTTTGAGTTTTGAAGTTTGATTCCCACAAGCTTACAATTTGTTTACAATTTACTCTGCCTCTGGCTCTGCCGTGCTGCACGGCAGAGTTGATCGGAATTGTAACAAATACGCGTACACTTAAATGGCTTCCTGAATTTAGTCAATCAGATGTGTAAAAATTACTCGTTTCACTTTTATGTTTATGCTCGAAACTGCTCATGTTTACAATAGCAATTCTAACAATCTTGCCCTCCTTTTCGCCTTTGAGGCGTTGGTGTTGATTTATACACAAAATTAAAAACTCAAAAATATTTACTGGTCTGGGTACATGTAAAACGAAGACCTAAAATCTAAATTCCCAAAAGCAGCTTTAATACGGTCAAATTTTCCGAAGTCTGATTTAGTTGTTTCAAAAGTATAGAATACACACACTCTTCTGTATGGATTTCGTACATGTTCTACATGTCTTACAGTAAAAATACAAAAATTGTCCCACTTCCGCGGTTTGTTGTGATTTTAATACTGTAATTTGTTCTGTTTTTCTGTAGCGATTACCGATTTATCGGCAAATACCGCGACTTGAAAACTTACTTTTCTTTATTTATTTCATTCTACAGCATTTATAGTTCTACAGCTATCTTATACAGTTTTATAATATTGTGAATGATTCCGAATATTCAAAACGAATTGAAAGAATGAAAGCAGTAATGATGTACTGTATAACGGTTTAAACTTAGCCGGCTGTACAGCTCACTGCCACCGGTCACTGAGCCGAAGGATAAACCGAAAATTCACTTTTCTCATCACAAGATTTAATGTTCAGTCGATCCGCTACATTGAAAGATGAGTATACTTGGCTATTTTTGGCAGGGGTAACGAAATATATCGGCTGTTCTCTACAGTAAGTGTTTCTTTATGTGTTGCCCATCGGAATATAATATAACTACATAAGCTTGATAGATATATAAGATAACGAGTTTCACAATCCCATTTTAAATACTATGGCTTTTGGCAGCCTGGTTTTGCATCATATGTGTTTTTCAGTAAAAGCCCCATTTTCCTACTTCCCCAACGTGTAATACGCGAAAAAACCTTTGTTAATAATAACAAAAAATTGTAATAGTAAACAGTGTATTTTATTATAAAGGATTTTCGTTTTTCTACTGCTCCGTACTTCGTGTGCTCCGTGCTCCGTGTGCTCCGTACTCCGTGTGCTCCGTGCTCCGTGTGCTCCGTGCTCCGTGTGCTCCGTGCTCCGTGTGCTCCGTGCTCCGTGTTTTACTAATAGCCCCTTTTCAATTGTTGAAAAAGATGCGAAAATGGGAGAAAGGTAAGGGTAACCCCTTAACTTTCCGTCCATTTTTAACCTATTTTTCAATTTTTTAGATAGAGGCAAAAAATGGCAAAACAGTATAAATGAAAAAAAAGAAGGTATGTTTAAAGCCAAAATTTGAGTTTTAAGCTGAAAATATATGTCTTAAAGGGTATTGGCAACAAAAAATTTTATTGCTTCGTCTGAAAGAGCATGAAAAATAAGCCGATTGGCCGTTTAATGCTCTCTTCTATCTCATCTAGTTTGGAAGTTATACGCAAAAATGTGCAAAATATAAGTTGCTGATTCAGCACAACGTGTGACGTCATTGGTTGGGTAAGTATGTTTAATGAATACTAAACCACGGGCAATAGGACAGGTGTAGTGTTGTTAAATAAAAAGTTAGAAATGGTATTGTACTTACCCATGTATTATAATTATGTTTAGAAGATCAGAATATTCATAAATTCTTATTTTGTTTCATAAATAGTTCTTTAATATTCGAAACAAATTCCATATCTGCTTCGTCTGCCATCGCCATGTTTACTCGTCCCAATCTACATGCTGCACGGCATCGCCGCCCCTCCTGGCAAAATAATAAGCAAGCGAGAAAAATTAAGGAGAAAATAAGAGGGTAGGAACATCGTTGTCATAAGCTGGATGCAGTGACACTTCCATATATGGCACAAACGTATCCATAACTTCCATATATGGCACAAACGTATCCACGACGCGTTTTATAACGTTTTATTTGACGTAGGGATGACGTGTAATGCTGCTTCCCGCCTATGACGATTTGAATTAGTCATGTGATACAAGATTGAGAAAGCTGATTCGCCCAGAGCGATGAAACGCCCACGAAACGCCCACAGTGTTCCTACCCTCTTATTTTCTCCTTAATTTTTCTCGCTTGCTTATTATCTTGCCAGGAGGGGCGGCAATGCCGTGTAGTATGTAGATTGGGGCGAGTAAACATGGCGGCGGCAGACAAAGTAGATGTGGAATTTGTTTCGAATATTAAAGAACTATTTATGAAACAAAATAAGAATTTATGAATATTCTGATCTTCTAAACATAATTATAATACATGGGTAAGTACAATACCATTTCTAACTTTTTATTTAACAACACTACACCTGTCCTATTGCCCGTGACTAAACTGAAGCATAGCTCAGTTATTATTGGCTCAAATCAAATGAAATTTTGCATACTGATTGTACATGATAAAACGTATTGAAAAACACTTCTAATTTTGTTGCCAAGGTGACAATGTCGTTCCCAGGCCCTTTGCGCCAATTTTATAAAACAGCTTCATTCATGGTACTTATAAGAATAAAATGATATCAGAAGTATGTGTACCATACCTATGCATGCCGAAAGTTTACTTGCATGATAATAATTCGAAAATGACATACACATAGATAAATGCAACTAGTTATTCAAAATCAGTCTAAGGGGCCTGGGAACGACTGTGTTGCCTTGACAACAAAATTAGGAGTATTTTCCCATGCGCCTCATTATGTACTATCTGTATGCAAAATTTCATTTGATTTGAGCCAATAATAACTGAGCAATGTTTCAGTTTACTATTCAATAAACATACTTACCCAACCAATGACGTCACACGTTGTGCTGAATCAGCAATTTATATTTTGCACATTTTTGCGTATAACTTTGGAACCAGATGAGATAGAATAGAGCAGTAAACGGCCAATTGGCTTATTTTTTCATGCTCTTTCAGATAAAGCAATAAACATTTTTATTGCCAATGTCCTTTAATTTAAGTAATATTTTGAAGGTCAAATCAAGGTCGTACTACCAACGTATGAAAGAATATACAGTGAATATTTTATTGTATACTATGGGATAAAATCGTACGTCTCCACAGTGGTTCAGTTATATTTACAAGTCAGTTTGCCATTTATTCTTTTTCACTTGCACGCTGAGGAGAGGGCTTGCACATAATTTGGAGACATCAGCGTCCTGAGGGCCGTCTTACACCCGCAATGGAATGGCATGCGTTTTGATCTCAATACGAGGTGACTGCCTTCCGTTCCCCTTGAGAAGAAGCAAAACACAGAATGAGTATAGGTTTAATAACGGCTGGAGTGTAGCCGCGATCAAGGTGACCGGCCAAATCAATTTTAGCTCGGACCGTCGGACATTTCTGGCCGGTCAAATTATTCAGCTTAAAGCAAAGCCCAGTAACGGCCTACATGTACCCCTAAAAATGTGATTATTTTTCCCAGTATAGCATTACAAATTTAAGCCTTACTATAATCAGTAAATGAAAACTCCTTCCCATAAAACAGCTTGCACCGCGCTAAAAGCATGACCTTAACTCTTAAGCCAAAAGCATGGCCATAGGGTCGGGCGGTTAATCGATAAAACCGGGAAAAAACGATTTTTTTAAAAAAACGATTCAATCGATTTTTCTTTTGACAAAAAGACGAAAAACCGAAGAAAAATCTGGAAAATACTTGAAACTTGCAGAAATAGCGGTGGCTTACAAACAATTCGTATTCATATTCTGTATCCTGACTAATTTCAGATGTGTGTAAAAGCGAAAATAAGACAGAAATATTCGTAATTCGCCACCGAAATGGCCGCCATATGGATGTTATAGGATTTTCAAATGGAACATTCCGATTACTGGATGGTGACAGGATGACATGGAGAACAATATGATTTTCAAAACAATGAAAAGACAATCAGGAACATTCCGATTACTGGATGGTGACCAGTGATGGTGACAGGATGAGATGGAGAACAATAGGATTTTCAAAACAATAAAAAGACAATGGAACATTCCGATCACTGGATCGTGACAGGATGAGATGGAGAACAATAGGATTTTCAAAACAATGAAAGAAAAGACAATGGAACATTCCGATCACTGGTCGTGACTGGATGGCACTTTTCGTCTTTTGTCCAAACCGACCAAACGCTTACTGGAATACTCAAAGTGATTACATGTTCCAACCTACCTTATTTTCAAGTGGCTTTCTGAGGTACAGCTGAGGACTTGGCGTATTACTAAACGAGTTTCCTGGACTATTGCTATGGAGGTTCTCTTTGTCTGCAAAAACGAAATTGAACAAAAATGAACTTAGGAGTTAGGAAATATTTATACTGGATAGCTCGGAATAAGCTATCATCTGAAGCTCAACCAAATGGCTATCAACTCCAAACATACATGTCATGTAGTCTAAAACTAATGGCTCACGAAGGACACAATTAACTAAATTCAAACTTCACTTAATATACTGTATGGATTCAGTGGTGTACAGTACACTGTAACTTGACTATCCTAATCACTCGCGAATTCATGGCAAGTTAGAATGTATGAAAATTCACCATTTGCGTAATAGACTAAATTTTTTATCTAGACAAGTAGACAAAAATTTCATCACAGCTTGAAAGAGCATCACAAAATTAGTAATATTCCAAAGTTTCGTTGCGAAATGTTGTAAAATTCGGAAAATATAGCCTTGCGAAGTTTGCAATTTTCAGTCATTTTAGATTACAAACGGGAAATTGACAGCCTCAGAGGGTTTGGGGCTGTCAATTTTCCATTTGTAATCTAAAATGACTGAAAATTGCAAACTTCGCAAGGCCATATTTTCCGCATTTTACAACATTTCGCAACGAAACTTTGGAATATTACTAATTTTGTGATGCTCTTTCAAGCTGTGATGATATTTCTGTTGTGATCAAAATTTAGTCTATTATGCAAATGGTCAATTAGTTGCCCGGAATGTTAAAATTCACTTGCCATCATATTAACACAATAAGGAACTATATTGACATAATAATCAACCTTCTAATATTCAGCGTTTAAATTTCCTTAACAAAGTCATTTGAAGACTTAATATTCTTTATTAGTAAATCAGCTGTAATCAACACTTCACGATTAAGTCGATCTTCAAATTGTTTTTTAAGGAAATTTAAACGTTAGAATATTAGAATGTTGATTAATCAATCCAATTTAAATGTTGGAATAATTATCAGAATGTTAATTAATTTTTTGCTGTGATTTTCTTCTTCAGTGAGATTTTCTTATTCTGATGGATGTGAACGAGTTAATATTAGTTATGCATGCTCTCAGAGTCTCAGCGCATGTACCCTCATCTATTAAACATTCCCAACTCATCCATTCGTTCACATACATCAGGAGAAAAAAACCGCAGCAGAAATTGCAAGTGTAAACGAGCCTTAAAATAGTTCATACCAGGTGATGCAATTGCCATTCTTGACTTTGCAAACTTGCTTTTCAGTGCATCGGCAATTATGGATGCAGGATCTGTCCCTTTCGTTTTTCGTGGCGCTCTTCTAATCGGCGTACCACCTGGTGACCTTAACAAAATCAATATGAAAAAATTGGAATCGATTGGATAGTATGTTGAACAGAGGGATTTTCAAAACAATGAAGAACATAAACATATCATGTTTACCGGATTAACCGGATATCACTATTTTTCTGCTAAACCTACTCATGAAACAAAACATGCATTGTCCACACAACACAAAATTCCCATTGATCAAAATTGATGTGCCTGTCAATCAAATCTGATATGTAGTAACTATGCTGTAAATAATTTCCAGAACTGATCGAATGTTGATTTTATAAATGAACACATTTAAGGTCACAGGAGCCAACTTTGTTTCTTGAGTCAGCAGTCCCTCCTTTCCCCTCGCATGTCCGGAAAGCTAAACCCACAAAAGAGGGACTGCTCACAGTCTAGCCAAGTTCTCATCAATCAGCTCAAAGTTGATGAGAGCACACAAGAGTCCATGAGTAATTGGCGATCCAAACAGAGAGCGAGGGTTTCTATAATTATGGAAATTAAGGCTCAGTATTAATAATTATAATAACCATATTATCAAATTACCTTTCGACTGCTTTTAACTTGACTTGATTAAGATCTTTCAGTATTGCTGTCATATCTAATACATTTCCATTCTTAGCCACTGCAGCTGAAGCTTTTCCAGTGTTCTTTAATAAATTGACAGAAAAAAATAACAATTCAGTCAATTGTTCCCATTCGATCTCCCCTTGGAGTCAGGGGCGGCGGAACAGGGGGGGCTAGGGGGGCTAAAGCCTCCCAGAAGTAAAAGTGGGGGGGCTTAGCCCCCCCAGAAAATTTGAATTTTTGGAAAAAATTTTGATAAATAGGGAGAAATTTAGGTTATTTTTTGAAAATTTGGGTATAAGGGGACAAATTTGCAATATTTTGTTTAAAAAAAGTGTATTTCCGAAAAAAATTTTTGATATAAGTCCGAAAAAAATTTTTTTCGTCCCTTTTTTTGTATATTGTACCCCTAAAGTGGTACACTGACGGAAATTTTTCAAGATCAACCAATTATACATTTGTCATTGATAATTTGTTGTTTAACATACATGCAGTGCGCATTTTAATCATCAACCAGAAAATGTTATTTGGGTGTCAATAAGTTAATCAGATTATCTGTCCCAAGTGGTAGTGTTAACCTTAATTGAGTGACAGTACTCTCCCCTTGATGAGAAAAATCATCTGGAATTAGACAGAGTAAAATAATAAAGTAGCACAATGTATCTTAAATTAATTAATGGTTATTATCATGGTCTCTTATATTAATTAATGGTTAACAGTCTCTAATCTCATCTGTCTTGGTGATCTCTATATCAATCCATTAGAAAACATTTATTATAACTATAATGCCTGAATATTCTCATTCGTTTGAATTGATTGCCATTATTATTATATTTTAAGCCAGTCACCTTTATTTAGTAGATTTGAAATTGAAATTGAAAATAGAATTTGGATGTTTGATGAATATTTGTGAGTCTTACCTTTCTGGGAGTGTGCAACACAGTAGTGGTTGTCGTATTAGGTAACGGAGGAGGTGGTGGTGGTAATGGGGGTGGAGCAGGGGGTGCAACCATACCTACAGTGACAAATTATATACAAGTTAATTTAATACATAAAGTTTGTATCTTTTGTACATTGTTTATTTATTTATCAAAAGAAAAAATGTATCTTGTTTTCATGTCAAAAAATTTCAGGAAATGCAACTACATTCCTTTTCCTACTGCCGTTAAAACGTCAAACTCGTTACTAACTAATTTCAAAACAACTTCCTGCAGATCATATTTCGCCATTTCCAAATTGTAGATTTCACGACATTTATAGGAATGTATAGTTGCATTCCTGAATGTTTTGACACAAGAACATGACACTTTTTGGGTAAAAGAAATTATCTTGAATTTCGGTTTTTGTAATATTATTATAGCATAATATTATGCATGTTACTCAATAAATTTACTACGTACAAGCTTCCTTAAATTATAGGATTTATTAATAATGGACAATGAAATGCATATACTTGTGGTGGTATCCAAATCATCTTGCTTCAGCACAAATCCTGCAATCTGTGCCCTTAATCTGTTCAGTTCATCTTCTAAAGCAGTGATTTTTCTAACAGTATCGTCTGATGCAACCATCGAGTTTTGATAAGTATTATCTCGACAACTTTCGTTCATGCTATCCCATACAATGGAGCAGCTTCCAGGACTGATTGTATCTCGACAGGGCGTGCTGTGGACAAACCGTGTGCCATGGATATCCTTCAATCCCCTCGTACGCACCTCTGTGGCTTGCTTGTGAAGCATCTGGAATGAATACAGGATGTTAGACACATTTCAATAGACTTTACTGTTTATTGCCCCATTTCCATTTGAATCAACGTAGCACCATGGATTATATTGGTGTACTCATTCAACTTAATTGATTAATTGTCACGCTTATCATGCACTTTATATTTAAAGCACTTCAAATTAGGTTTGACACATGACAAGCACGACATTGGAACTATGATCAAAACCATCTGCAACGCTCTCAGAGCGTTCCTGTTTAAACATTCCTCTGTGGCACTTTTTTACTATTATAGAATTATTTGCTCCGCCCCCCTCCCCCCCTCCCACAACGATGTTGGACGTATTACAATCAAGTATGCAACCAACATCGAATGGTGAGGGTAAGGGGGAGGTTTTCTAAATTTGTGGTATTTACAAAATATTGTCAAATAATTGGTAGTGTCGCAGATGTTTTGGCCAAGATTGTTGGCCTAAAATAACAAAATAGGGCACATTGCGGCTTAATAATTTAGCGGACATAGCAGATAGTACATTTACAACTCTTACATAAAAATACGGTCGTTTGCTTGGTTGTATTGGCAGCCTGCTCCCGATTTCTCTTATCAAACTTTTCCTTGTAAAAACTGACGCCATTAAAGTTCTGTAGTAGCACAAAAATGGATCAAAAACCAAACCATGAGGCATGTGGTCGGCCAAATAACGTACTATACTCCTGTTTTCGCCGTCTTGTCGAAGGCATATCGGCTGCCATCGCTGAAAAATAAAGAAATGAAAAAGAATTAGCCATTTTGAGCACAACAGATGCGGTATGAGCTTGAAAGCAAGCTTCGAATTCAGTTTTACAACCTTTGAATAGTCAGCTTCGAAATTTATAAGGAAAATATATGCCCCCAAAGCTTGCATAAAAAAGGCAATGTAGATACAAATTAAACAAGAATAAAACACAACATTACCACAAATAAATTCTCGCCGTCCTCAGTGTGACATAACCTATTAAAAAGTTCTGCCAAACGCATGACAATTTGGACAATTTCTTCACGAATATTGAGGTCATTGTCGGGTTCCATTTTGTAAATAAAAGTGTTTCAAAATTCGTTTGAAAGAGAACCTCGAGGCATTTAAAAATGTCCACCAATCAGGTGTCGAGTTGTAAACTTTCGACCAATCAGATTGAAGCGTGGCTTATTCAATTTTGAAATGTTTCGTTTTGAATTACACAAAGAACAATACTCGAGTTGAAACGTTGAAGCGACTTATTCTCGTGTTATTTTGCTAAAATACTGTCCCAAAATAAAGAAAATGGAAGCAAGAGCATTAGTAGAACATCTAAAAGAGTTATCAGACAATCCTCACAACAGATCTACAATCGTTAAGGTATGAAAATGTCGAGGAAAATGTAATAAATTTTAAAATTATGTATACAAACCGACAAACGCATTAATTTTTTTAAATTTAAAATATGATTTCTTTCAAAATTGAACTAATTCTTATTGTATTGTTTTTAATTTTTATAAAATGTTTTGATGTCAAAATGTACTTTATTTGTGTGATATTTCTATTTATATCATTATAAAAGCCACAAAAAAATTTTCATATAAATTTCTGCTTTATTCTCAATTTAGCCATTTTTTTTTCTCAGCCCCCCCCCCCCATATTAATCTAATAAATCTATAATATGAATGTTGATACCCCAGGCCATAAAAATTCAGAGGTCTTGCACGATGGCCCTTTGACTGAGGTGCTCGAGTCAAGCCAACCACACATACATACAGGATGGAAGTGGATAAATTAACTCACTTGCCCGATCATTTGGTCAATCATTTATTTTGAAAACAAATAATGAGTCTGATTCAGTTTTAATAGACCTTATGCATAATGACGTCACAAGGCTTGATGCCCACAAGGAATGCTGGTCTTAGTAGTCATCGCCCGGGAAAATTTAGATAGTGGCCATTTTGAATTGTTTAATTTTCCCGGGCGATGACTACTAAGACCAGCATTCATCATGGGCATCAAGCCTTGTGACGTCATTATGCAGAAGGTCTATTGCCCCTGTTGTTTTGTATGATAGCTCCCCATCTCCCAGAACTTATGACTCACAATGATCAACAACACTTCACTATATTTCAAAGGCCTCTTGCAAGGCACAAGTTGAAAATTACAATCGATCACCTTTTTGCAGGATAAAGGATGTCTGGCTGGCCTTGTATTATTCCTAGACAACAGTGATGCACATGTTATAACAACTGCACTTCAGGTACTGAGTGTTTCTGAAACACAGCCTGTTTATTGTCATTGGACTAATAATGGCAGTGATTTAATTTATTATGTTGTAATTATTGCATTTTATTCCTCAAAGGCCTTGAAGAATCTAGCACAACACAAGCCAAACAGATGTGTCATGAAAAATGAGCTGGGAATGCTGGAAAGTTTGAGAGCAATCATGCATAGGTAAGTTTCAGCTGATCTGAAAAATGACAGCAGCTCAAGAGCACAACCCCCCCCTGCTTGAAATATCTACTCCACAAGGCTCCCCCCTGGAAAATCTGCACTCTCCCACACATAAAGACCTGTCTCCTTGGAGGCCTCCACTCCCAGTGCCACACACAATAGCCTGCCCCGATAAAAAATCTGCACCCTCCCCACACACAGATACACAAAACTCCCCTTCCTCCCACAGAAGTCTGAACCCCCTCTCCAAAAAATTCCGCACTTCTCACCCGGGCCACCTGATGTCAGTGAGGGCAAATATGTTCTTTTTCATCCCACAACTTACCCTGCATTTAGAAATGGTGATGCAAAGACCAAGCAATTGGCAACAGAAGTCTACGATGCTTTAAATCAATCACAAGAACCAACTTCGCGCAGATCAAATAACAGCTCAAGGTAATCTTTGTTTAATAAGAGAATGCCCAATTACATTAATTATTATTTTAACTGTATTAATCTTCACCAAATATTTTTCCATTCCTCTAAAGTAGCCACACAGTGCTGGGCAGTGCCACCCGAAGATCCAAAACATACATTATACAAATCAAAGGCCTTTCGAATCAGGTACAGCAATCATGCAATCACGCATTACCAGCTTTATATGTACTAGTCAGAGCGTGGGTGGATCTACAGTGGGGTGCACACCCCACCTAGTGGTGTCCAGCACCCCACCCCCTAGAGCAGTACAGCACAGGGTTGGTAAGTTAGATGAATAATTAGGCCAAATCGTCATTAGTGCCGTTTCAGAAAACAAAAAAAAAACACAAAAGGCCAAGACAAAGAAAGCAAAGGCCTAGTGTGACGGTGTTTGGCCTAATTATTCAGCAAACCTACCAACTCTGGTACAGCACTACCTTAAAAAATCTGCCTGACCATACATTTTCTGCTTTTCGAATAGTGATTAGCACAACCTTGAAACGATTTTCTGATTTGAGCTCACGAGAAAAAACTCAGAATGCTTTTATAAATAACATCGTTAAATATGTAAACATGTCGAGGGTGATAAAAAGCCCATAATTTATAAACTTTATAAACAAAAGATAATGTAAAACGTAACAGAACGGGAAACATGCAGATTCGGCCATCTCAGATTATAGTAATTAATATTGGGATAGTAGCGTTGCAGACTGCAGAGGACTAGAGGAGAGTGGGCAGTAAGGCTCCCTCAATATGAGGGTCCCTCATGCACCACCCCATGGAAAACCTGCACCCCTCTTTAATTGCAGATGAGGCTAGATCTGCCCCTGAGTCATAAAGCTGTGCAACTATTTTAATAACGCGTAAATTTAACAAACAACGCACTCTCTTTATTTCAGATAACGAAGCGAATTTGTGAAGAACAGTTGCTCACTGTACGCGGAATTGTCAGTTTCACATTTGACATGGCAAAATCTCGCTGTATCGTGCGTGCAAGGCCTGATACCACAGCAGAAACTATTTGCCAAACTATCAATAAAACCAAAGTACTCGCTGCTCAACAAATTGTCAAGAACGAACGCGGTGAAGAGGTGAGCGTCGTATTATAATGTTCGCACAAGGAAATTTTAATTTTTTGATGTTTCCTTGTTTACCCAAGGCAACTTTGCTTTCAAACGAAGAAAAAATGTTTCCTTATTCCCTAATAAATTCAAAAATATATTTCGTTTCCCAAATGTGATTGCGGAAACAACGTTTCCTGGTTTGTCTAGCTTTGGGAAACATAGCTAAGAAACAATGTTTCCTGGTTTGGCCACCTTCAGGAAACATGGCTAGGACACAATGTTTCCTTGTTTGTTCACCTTCAGGAAACATGGCTAGGAAACAATGTTTCCTGGCTTGCCCACATTCGGGAAACAATTGGCTAGGAAAGAATGTTTCCTGGTTTACCAACATTCGGGAAAAATGAAACAGAAAATACAGATTCCTGGTTTGTCTACCCACAATGTTACCGCGAAGAATGTATTCTAATTTTCCAAGGGTCTATATTTACCTATAGGTGACGGTGTGCTTTACAAGTCATAATAAAAGCCAGAGCAAAAGTTGTGCGCAGGATAACGGCGCTAATCTACCAGATTATCTTCCGGAAGAAGACGAGATTCCTGCGTCAAAAACAGTAAGTTATGACGATAATAATGGTGTGGTGGTGATGATGCTAGGTGGTGATTGATGATGGTGGTGATGATGGTGATGGTAGTGATGATTGATGATGGAAGGTTGCAGTGATGACGGAGATGAAGGAAGTTGTGATGATGGTGTTGATGGTGGTAATGGTGGTGGTAATGACGATGGAGATAATGGTGGCGATGATGATGGTGAGGATGATGATGGTGATGGTGATGATGGTGATGATGATGATAGTGATGGTGATGATGATGGTGATGATGATGAGGATGATGATGGTGAGGATGATGGTGGTGGTGGTGAGGATGACGATTATGGTGGTGTGGTGATGATGGTGTTGGTACCACTGCTCACGGCTTTTCTGTCTTTTCAGGCCTTGGCGCGGGTGAAAAAGCAGGATGACAAAGAGAACCAAGGATGGTTCGGCTCTGTCGGCAGTTTTATCAGTAAAACTCTCTACTGGTAAAATTCTCATGATCTTAACCTGAAGAATTGCAGTATATCTGTACATCAGATGGAACAAACCTTCTGGAAACTGATAACCAAACTTTGTACATACGACTAACTTGCAGCAAAAGACGACATCGTAGACTTATATTCATTTTTAACATTCGTGTGTTTCAGTAAGTGTTATACTAGCCTGCGAACAGGCTCTCAAGCTGAATTGAGAGCCTGCATCGATGACTAATGAATTTGAATATCTGCGTCTCAAATCGTGACGCGAAATTCTCATTGGTCAGATGCTATAATTTATATGTTTCCGCTGAGTTCTATATATGTCAACTGCTGAAGCACTATGCATAAAAAACACATTAACTGATCAAATTGGTCTTGGCCGTCTTATCTCAAAGCACGAAATGTTCTGTTTTGAGAAAACAGTATTTAAAACATTTGAACTTTTGCTTGAATATCTTATATTTTGAAAAACAGTATAAACTGTACAGTCTAAATTTAGTTTGCACGGTCTAAATTTAGTTTGCACGAAAGTTGTAAACAACACCATATAAGGATAGACATTCCATATTTGGAAAAACGAACGTTACGGGGCAGATATTCAAATTCACTAGTCATCGATGCAGGCTCTCAATTCAGCTTGAGAGCCTGTTCGCAGGCTAGTGTTATACCGGAGCAGCATTTGATGCTGGTGATTGACCACCATCTGCTGCTGCACGAGCTGCTTATTGAAAACACACGAAGCTTGTAAATATATAATTAGAGGGTAGAAAAATTTTAAATATATTTACATTTAAAGGTTAATTGTGTTTCATGCTCAAGTATTGCTTTGGCCAAAAATAACTATATCTTTAAAGGTCTGTTTACACTTGCAATTTTTGCTGCGATTTTAGGTGCGATTTTCGTCTCCTGATGGATGTGAACGAGTGGATGAGTATGAATGTTCCGAGTATATGTACCTTCATCTCAACATTCATAATTCTTCCACTCGTTCACATCCATCAGAAGAGAAAATCGTAGCAAAAAATGCAACTGTAAACAGGCCTTAATAATGCTTCTATCAGTGCTATTTTTGTTTTCAATCTTAAACCTAAAAAAATTAACTATCTCCTATAAATGTTTTAATTCTATTTATAATATAGCATTTGTAAATTCTGAACGCTGATTGGCTAAGAGCCGTGTTGATATAACTCCATGTCAACACGGGAAATTTTCCGCCGCTTGTAACACAGAAATTGTTCTTATTCTTCGGGCTTTTGACATTGCTATATTATAAAACAAATATAAAACATTTCTTCCGTATTGATATATAGTTATATCAACACTCGTGGAAGTTGGGAAAACTCGAAATTGTGTGAAAACACTCCGCCCTTCGGGCGTCGTGTTTCCACACAATTTCTCGTTTTCCCAATTTCCACTCGTGTTGATATAACTGTATATCAACACGGAAAATGTTTTATATTTGTTAAATATAAAATATTAACTATCTGTACGTATCTTTTTATTTGGCGCAGTCCCTTCCATTTTGTCGTTTCGTTTGCGTTTCTCATATTCTTCAGGTATATCTATCAACAAGTATATTAGAGATCAAAATAATTCAAGTTCTTCGCTAAACCAATTTTATTTATGCTGGATAGCTCATTCAGTTCTAAACTGCGGGCTCCATAGAGGTACAGTTAAGGATCTTATTACTTCAATGTTATTATAGGAGAAAACCCGAACTAAACTAAAGCCCCAGTCAAACCAGGATAAGAGTTGAGATATAAGAGTTTGCATGAGAGTTTTCTCAACTCTCATGCCCTGGTCAACGAGAGTTGACTGGATTTTACTGCGCGGGTAGCGAAAATCAAATGTTGTAATACCAGCTCAATGTTGATGAGAGTTGATGAGAGTCCATAAGAGTTGGCGGTTAAATACGAGCGAGAGGTGCAACTCTTATCCTCACTAGACCGGGGTTTACTGTACCTATTATGTAATATTTCAAATTCGACTATGAGGACTGGACTAGATTATCAAAATGCGAAGACTTGAAACCTGGTCCAGTCCTCAGTCGGATTTTTGTGCAATCCGTGTGTGGGGAGGGTGCAATTTTTATGGGAGTATTATCATGTGAGCAAAACAAAGCAATATGGTGGGTTAATTTACTCATGAATTATTCATGTTTTGAGATTTTTACTGGATAGCTCTATAGTTCTAAACAGTTCTTCCTATAGAGATCCAGAGTAAGGGCAATCGCTCATTTTTCCGGTGTTACTACTAGGAGGAACCTGAACTAAATTATATTTATAATTGGCAAGCTCTATCATGCAGTTGTAAACTGTTCTTCCTAAAGGTGGTCCAATGTTACTACGGAACTTAAACTACTAAAAATTATTTATTGTTCCAGTGTATAGGAGGAAACCAGACTACACGCTGAGTTAATCACAGGGTGAATCCTCGACAAAAACATAAAATATCTCTAAGCCATAATTTGTAGAAACGTTTAATTTTATAAAGTCTTCATGTTTTCGTTACCTTCGCCAGTAATATCCGCATATTTCTGAAGATATATTTTTCTTTTCGATTCTGGGAGATGATTGGTAAAACCTGCAAGGTAAATAACTCTTTATAACGATATTATGCAAAGTATATTAAATCAAACCAGCTTTATTTACTGATTATCTCTAATCTCAGTCTTGTCAACATTCCCTGTGGGAGGAAACTGGGCTACCAGGAGAAAAACCACGACTTTCTGCAGAGCGTTGACTGGTTAGGTCTTATAAATGTATAAAATTCACACTCGACATTTCCATCTATACTAAGGGACCGTTCATTATTTTACCCTGGTGTTGGTACCGAAGAGAAAAACACTGTAAATCGTTCATTTACCCAACCTTAACAATGGTCAAAATAATGTTTACCCAACCCATGTGTTACTGTACTTCATAATAATTAAACACACATGATTATGGGTACAGAAATCAAATCAAGTTTCTGCTGATCATTGATGAAGTCCTTCCTTCGTCTATTTTGGTACAGAATGTATTGTACACATTTTTCTTCATACTTTCCAATGCATGGTAATTTTTTACCCAACCCATGACTTAGTCAAAAACCTGATTACCCAACCCACATCTCTTCGGTACCAACCCCGGGTATAAATAATGAACGGTCCCTAAACTCTTCTACAATTTGTTGTAGTGTAGATGCCTAAAATCCTTATATTCACTCATACACCTTACATTGGCATCCCTCCCCTCTCCATTCTATGTTGTTTATCCAATCGTACACCAAATCACACACCAAAGATGCTGAGACCCAACATTGGGACGTATTGAACTAATGATTGTACTCCCCATGACAATTTTGTAATTCATAAGGTTACACGTATCACTTACCTAAATATACAATTCATAGTATTCTTTCTCCGCCAGTAGGACAGTTATCATGCAGAGTAGCAATGGTTGAAAGTCATTGTCCTGTTTGAATATACGGAATATCATTTTTCTGTATACTTTATTACTATATGGCTATAAAATATGCCGGCTTTCGCCATACTTTATAACCACGGTTTTTCATGACATTTGATCTGAGAGGCATATTTGGGGTAAGGGTGCTGTAGTTTCAGGCGTACGAATTGAAAAATCTCATCTCATTACAAAGATTCTGGCTTCAAACTGAAAACTGGTCTTACTGAAAACTCTTTTAAAACCAGATACTACAACCACAAAACGTCATTTACTTTGTACGAGAAAAGGAACTCCGCAGAACTTAGTAAATACATGTCTGGCAGTTAAAGCGCAGAGGAATTGAATTTCATATCAAATGGCAAACCTTGAAACGGGCCAAACCCTACAGCCCTGTTTCGAATAGATGTAATCTCTGTCTGTGGGAAAAATACTTTATTATATGTAAACCTGAATTGGCTACTTTGAACAAACGTATAATGAATTACTACTTACGTAACGAAACTAATAGTAATAAAGTATTTATTACTATTGGAATTTGTTGAGTCGTTGCACTTATTTAATTATGCTCTGGATATCCATTGATGTAAATAATTAACTAAATAGACTATACACTTTATTTTTATAATTCCATGTAAACTCGGACGTGTGTTTCGAGTATTGATTAATAAAGACTATTATTATTATTATTGTTATTATATATATCGTTTGATTAACGTTTACGTCTGCTTTCTATATATATTTATATATTTATATATTTATATATACATATATATATACATACATATATACATACATATATATATTATATATATATATATATATTATATATATATATATATATTATATATATATATATATATATATATATATATATATATATATATATATATATTCATATATATATATATATATATATATATATATATATATATATATATATATATATATATATATATATATATATATATATATATATATATATATATATATATATATATATATATATATACTTATATATATATATATATATATATATATATATATATATATATATATATATATATATATATATATATATATATATATATTATGACGAGGCGTTGAACGCCGAAACATGCATGTCTGCAGATTGTACTGTTACGCTCCTTCACTTCGGTGTTGTTGAGCACTCTGCGGAGTTGTTAATGGATGGCTATTAGCGATAATGCAAAGCTCACTTCCCTTGTGGTCGTTTGAGCACTCTGGCTCCATTACGCTCTGCGCATGTCTGGATGCGTTGAGTCACCGTGTTGTACCACATGCCTTGGTGAGAGCAAGTTCATGGGGTATTAATACGAGTGTCTCACGTATCTAGTCGTGTACCAAGCTGCACTGACGAGGCGTTGAACGCCGAAACATGCATGTCTGCAGATTGTACTATATATATATATATATATATATATATATATATATATATATATATATATATATATCTCTCTCTTTATATATATATATATATATATATATATATATATATATATATATATATATATATATATATATATATATATATATATATATATATACACTGGATCCAGAAAAGTTTGACCTTCGAATATATATATATATATGTCGGCCATTTTGAATTTTCTTGGGTTAATTATACGCGAACGCATGCATCAAATGTTGCTCGCAACGTATTGGATATTGCAATATTATTCCAACAGCTCAAATGAATAAAAGAATCATTGATTGATGTCTTTGCACATAATCATAATGGCTAGTAGGAAATGAACATTTGGAAATGAACATAGTCACCTGCTTCGCCAGGTCACGAATGCTGCGCGTGCTGAGTTTCAGGGGATGAAATATCGAATGACTATCGATTCCGTTAAAATTTCCGTTGGCAAAATATAATAATTCTGGACGTAGGTTACAGCTATAAAATAAGCACAAGTGAATACGAAAGAATAAACAAAGAAATTCATCGAGGCATGCTAATAAGCATCTAAATCTCTAAGGATGCAAAAGAATAAATTACGACATGCCAAAAAGATCAGGTTCCAAATTGTGACAAGAGTTAATTAGCTAACAACCCTCAAATGTTCATTAGATAGCTACTACAAATATGTGTAAGAACTTCAAGCAATGATCCTTTACTTATTTGAGCTGTTGGAATATTGCAATATACAGTACGTTGCGAGCGACATTTGATGTATGCGTTCGCGTATAATTAACCCAAGAAAATTCAAAATGGCCGTCATATATATATATATTCGAAGGTCAAACTTTTCTGGATCCAGTGTATATATATATATATATATATATATATATATATATATATATATATATATATATATA